TTTGATTTGCCCGCAGGTTGACTTCATATCAATTAACCTTACTCTACATGCAAGTAAATCAAGTGCATGCTTTATTAGATGTGTTCAAGGAATCCACAGCAAACAGCAAATCCAAAACCACTAACCAGGTACAGCTAATCACTGTGGAAATTTAAGAATGAATTGTGTGGTCACAAGTATTGCTTAATTCATTTCTGCACTCGTACCTCTTCCAGACATTGTTTGTGACCAAACAATGTGTTTTGTTCCTGGATTTTGTGGTTGATATTCTGTCTCTATCATTTAAAATACACCTATGATAAAAAATTATAGACCTTTCATTTCTTTGTAAGTGGGCAAACTTAGTAAATCTGCAGGGGACCAAATAATTATTTTCCTCACTGTAGGTATGCATGCAAGTAGGGTACAAGGATGCATATTAATGTGCTAGTCTGCTGCTGCAACAAATGCTTGGCAGTTCTACTGGGTACATACTGTGCGTCCATCTGACTTTTCATATCTATAACTAGCACACACAAAAAAAAACAAGGTTGTTCTTTTTGCTTTTAAAAACCTGACCTGGTTCTCCATAACAACTAACAACCTTTCATTTCACTTTCAGAACAGTTTACATACAATATACTGTATATAGATGAAATTGTATAGTCCTTCTGATTTTAATGGCACCCAAAAAGTTGCAATTGTGGAACAACTTCAAACTATTTCTGTGTACATTAGAACAGAGGGATCAGGAAGGATACACTGCTTTCTGGCACATTTTGGGTAAATAGTGTCTGGATAATCTCATGACTGTATAACAGAACAGAACGTAATATAGCATAATATTTTTCCCCTTAATTTTCTGTACTATAAATTTTGCAGTTCAAACTCTGTACATACTATGTGTGACCTCTGGAACATTTTTGTTTTCCTCCATTGAGCTCCGTGCCTGGGAAAGAAGCCAAGTTACAAGTCATGTAGATTAGAGTAGATCAGAGAAGCAGGATTGAGTTGCTCCAAGAAACAAGTGAGAAGAGGCCATTCGTAGATACAAGAGAACACCAAGGTCCGCAGAGTGTGAGATTCTTTTAATTGATCCAGTGCTTGTATTCATCTGCTACCAAGCCTCTACGCCACAATAACACCTCTAAGCACTTAACTCTATCACTAGCAGAGAGAACGCATAGCACTATCCTGCTGCCGTGCCGAATGAGCAGATTCCTACCATGGATATTTAATACACATATTAAGGAGTCTGTGATAAAAACAAATGGTGGTTATCTCATATTACACTGTGGTATGAATACAATATCATGATCATATTCATTCTTTAATTAATGCAAGCTGCAATGATAAAATACACGTTATGCTTTTTGTGCACCCAAACCAAATACATTTTAAAGAAGAACTCCAGGTTTTTATAACACTAACCCTTGCAATGGGGCTACCCCCGCACTGCAAAGATTAAGTGCTTGTTTTTCTCTAGGGGCCAGTATAAGAAGATACACTCACCTGATCATCAGTACTGCGGCAGTCAGTGTTCACCTCTATCCCCTGTGCTTCGACTGTGGAATATCCCATGGCGTCCCCACGTCTAATGCAGGTGAATGGACTGTATTAGACGTGATGATGTCAGCAGGGCTTAGACTGCCGGAGCACAGGGGAGAAGAGACTGCAGACATCAATCTAACAGCCGGCGGGGGGGAAGAGTACCAGTTGAGTATATATTCTTTTTTTTTTCCTCCCTAGACCAAAACAAGCACTTAACCCTAGTGGTGCGGGGGTAGCCCCATTGCAAGGGATAGTTTTTTTAAAATCCTAGAGTTCCTCTTTAAATAAAGATAATGTCTGCCATAGGAACTGGGTCATATACTAGCCATTACTTGCTTAAAGTGTAGTTCTACCCAGCTGTAAGCCTTTCCCCATTAACAAATGAAAAATGTCCTTCAACAGAGGTCTCTTAACCAGTTAATTCTGAGGAAAAGCCCTGTAGCAGACTCTTATCTGCCACTTAATATCCTAAATCAGGTACAAAGAATGTGACTCTTTGCACAAGAAATATAATAAAATGTGTCTGATTTTCATAACACGCTCTTGTACACTGAACTTTTCCACCATTAGTAGGCACCATTTGGGCCAGCAGACTGCTGTCCTTAACTTAAAGGAGAACTATGGGGTCAGTGTTTTTCCCCATAGTTCTCCTTGGGGTAACGGGAGGACACCAACTAGCGTCCTCCCGTTACCCTAAGCTCAGTATACCGCGAGCTACAGCTCACGGTATACTGAGACGCCGCACCTGGAGCGGATCCCGACGTAGATGACGGGATCCGCCCAGCTGCGTGAGTGACAGCTGGCTCTGCCTATCTAGAGGCAGAGCCAGCTGTAACCGCCCCCTCCCCTGTCCGTTCCGCCAGTCAGCGCTGGCAGATCGGAGCGGGGAGAGGGGAATCCAGCCCCTCCCCTTGTCACGGCAGAGAGCCGTGACAGGATCGAGAGGTGAGGGAACCCGGTATGTGTTCGCTCACCTCCCGATCTACTGAGCTGACCTGTGACAGTCTCATTGTCACAGGTCGGCTTAGAACTATGAGGTGAGTGGAAATCACTCATGTCATAGTATACTTTAACTAACGTTCAAAGCGCAGGTCCAGGAAGCCCAAAACAGTTCTAAACAACGTCTACTTTACAGATGATCAAGCACTGCATTGCTGAATTCTCCTTTCAACTGGTTGCCCATATTGCATTGTGCCTGTGGTGTCTACTCAGCCGAGTAGACATGGAAGACAGGAAGTGTGTTACTGGCCAGATCACTAAGTGAAAAGAAAAAGAGAAAACTAATGCAGCCACTTCATCTAAGGAGCAATATATGACGTCTTTGTTTTGTGGTATAGATACGCCAAGTTTTTTTTATAATGGTATAAACTGATATTTGCTGTTCAGCAGCTTGTTTTAGGAGTACGGTCTCTCTTTTGTGGTTGCACACTTTTTTGTCACGGATGGCTTGTGCAGTCACTGAGATGCAACAAAATTCAATCACCTAATATTTGCCTCTTTTAGCTAATAGATGGTACTGTGCACACAGTGGGTATAGGATTGGCAGCACCAAAGGAAGATCTTGTAACAGAGATGGTGGCAATCACATATTTGATGTAACTTCCTTCTCTTTGCTGAAGTGAGAAAGTTCAATTCGCCTTAATGTGTGTAAAGGTGCCCATACACTGCACGATTCTCGTACGAGAATCGCGGGAAATCCCGCAATCGTACGAGAATCGTGCAGTGTATGGAAGGCGTGCGACCGTTTCTACTGGTTTCGCACGTCTTCCGTCGAACCAGCATGCTAGAAAACCTGCCGGGAATTGTACGATTCTCGGCGCGTTAGTGGCCTGCTGGTCCGACAACTGCCGAACGGGCTGGTGTGCGCACGCGCACACTGCCCGTTTGCAGTCATCGTAAGCCCGCCCCTCAGGGGGGCGGGCTTGCGATGATCGCAAGTACGATCTGCCTGTCCAAGATGGGCAGATCGTAAGTTTTTTTAATTACTTTACAACCATCGCAAGACTAAGGTCTTGCGATGGTTGTAAAGTGTATGGCCACCATTAGCCACTGAAACCAGAATCCAGATAGCTCCTCAGATTTTCAGTGGCATTGTATTTCATTCAAGTTTATCTGAACCCAAAACTTTTTTTAGCTTTGGAAAGAGTAAGAAAGGATTAGAAATATCACTGGGGAACAAAGTGAGGAAAAATACAACATTTTGAGTTGCGACTAGCATAGGAATAAAGGGGAAAACGTCTAATTGAAACACTTGATACTGTGACAACTTTATGAGAGGGTATTTCCCTTTCCTTTGTGCTGTGGGTACAGGACAAGAAGTAAAAGGAAATCTCCCCAATTGAATATAGATGGCAATAAAACAGGATTTAATCTATTCCCTTGTTCTATACAAAATAAAAAGTATTGGCTTTAGATCTACTTGTGTTCAGAAACTTCCTCCTCGTCTCTCTTCTCTGCATCACAAATCAGATTCAAAGTGTCAAGGTATGTCTGAACCTGATTGGTGGCTGTGAGAAATGTCTTAATAAGAGCACTTTGGTACATCCTGCTTTCTGTACAGTAGAGACAGACAGGAGCCTGCAGTGGGTATGTTTGGAAATGTCTTTCTTGCATAACCACAGAAAAGAAAAGGGAGTTCTCAGACGACTGACAAAAGCTAATTGGGTAGATTGATGCAATACATCAATGCCTGGATAAAAACCTGAAGCACAGAGCAGGCAAGCTGGGTCCCATGTATGTATTTCAAGGCTTTCATTCCAATTTTGACTGGTGTGTACCTTAAACAGCAGAGAGATCTGAACCCCTTAAAGATAGAATAGGCCAAAATCAGCGCTGAGTGACACGATCCTTATAATTTTAAAGTGTAACTTTATATCAGAATTGTTATAACCACTTTTTTACAAATAAAAGAAAAAGACAACGTCAGCTTACCACATCCTGAGTAGTGGTAAAGTCAGGTATGGTTATTGCTCTATGACTGATGTGCAGTACTGTGCTTGGTGATTTTATATTCTGTTTTCTGCACAATAAGCTTTTTTGTTTAGATGGAAAGTAAATCAAGATAAGTGATGTTCAGATGGCTGTATTAGGTGCAAAGGGTTAAACACCCCTTAAGTCACATTTCTGTTTTAATTTAAATATTTATTTTTTACAGTGGAGGTACTCAAAGTATAATCATTTACAGCCTTGCACCAGTCGCATATATGAAAATGTAAAAAAAGGAAAGGAAACATGGAGACCTTTCATTGTATATGGTTTCATTTCTGCCATCTTTGAGACATTTTAAACTATGACAACAGAAGAATGTTTTGTACAGAAACTTAATTTAAATTTTCCAACCATCTCTATACTGAGCAAAGCAAGGAACTTTAAGCAGTGATCTTACCATAAAGTCAGTGGCAGATTCAAGGATATTTCAAAGACAAATAGCGACACAACCGCTGTGAGAACCTTCAATACATAAAAAGAAAACAATACATATATTACTAAAAAGACAAAATCACATGGATATTTAAAATGCAACTCTAGCTGTGAGGTACCTCCTTTATTTATTTGGAAGGGTATTTTAATGCACCTCAACGTAGCAGAAACTAGCTATGACTAAGGCCATGTGCGGATGAAACATGTCAGCAGGTTTTTATGATGTGGACTGTACATCAGATATTGAATAAAGGTGTGTTCAAGGTAGATGGAGCCTTTCCTAAGCACCAGCATTCCCCTTCTCCACACAAGTTTTGGACTTGGGTAGAGCGGCTTTTTGGTTCATTTGTTGATGCCATTTTTCTCATTTTAGATAACACATGGAAGGTATAGTTCGGATATTATGGGCTGCAGAGCACTGTGCAGAAAGGAGAAACCAGCAACAGCAGTGCAAAGGGGTTGTCTTAATGGGCCCTAGTGTAAAAACAGGAACTATTATGAAGTCAAAATTTGAAATAAAAAAGAAGTGTGAACAATCATGGCCGAATTTATTTTAGCTTATATAACAACTGCTTTATTTTTCTCAAAATCATTTTGGCTACACACAAAACTGTTTAGACAGAGAATAATTAGGTGTCTATGCCCATTCTGTTTACAAGTGAACCTGGGCTTTAATTTTCCTTCTCTACCCTTCCAATCCACAAAGATCGTTAGCCTTGTATGAGCTCCAAATTGCTTATTGGGACCAACACAGAGCTAAGGACTCTGTAGCTGGCAACATTCTAATAGCGCTAGATGCCTGAGCAGCCAGTCACTAAGCCCCGGGTCACATTTTCCACATATTCAGAAGTACCGTGTACTTTTCTTCAATCTCAGCAGTCAAAGGTAAGGTAATCTGCTGGTGGGGTCACCATTAAAGTGAACCTGTTGCTTTGTTTAGTAGAAGAAAAGCACCTATTATATTGCATGAAATTGTTTTCTAATTTAAATCAACTAAGCTATGACATGTGGAGAAGTGGCATAAAAGGTCATAACTTTCTGATTTTTTTCAAATGTCATTGACTCTAGACATGTAGACCCTGTGAGGTTTTATTCTTCTTCGAGATAAGGGTTGTTGGTTTTTCAAATATTAGACTGATGATATATTAAAAAAGTTGTCAATTTAGAAGCAAAGAGCACTTAGATGTAATCTTTGTTAGATGTGAAAGAGTAATTCACACACTTATTATTGTCATCAAAGATATTTTCTTGCACACAGCAGACTTCCTGCAGAGCACATTGCAAAACCAAATGTGACCTATTGCATGTTTTTGTCAAGGAAAATTTAAAGCTAAACCCCAGTGAAATACATACATGCAAACTGTTCTATCAAGTATTTGTAATTGTCTTCAGTAAGTATTTTGTCCTGGACACCCAAGCCCAACCTTCCACCCATTGGTGTGTCCCATTGGGGAGATTTTGCTTCACTTCCTGTCCAATAGCCACAACAGGAAGTAAGAAGAAATCCCTCCATAGAGAAGAAATCCATGTTCTGGTGCGTAGGGAACTTCTGTCCCAATTGGAAGATTTTCCATCCATTTCTGTTCCAATGACCACCCAAAATTTTGGATTTTCTTTCACTTTCAGCGATTACAGTCACCGAGGAAAAAAAAAGGCCAGAGGGTCACAGGTTGCTAAGAGCTCATAGCACACCTGCAACCCCCCATACATGACCCAATGGGATGCCTCATCATAGGGATGGCTCTGATGTAAACCATTTTACTTGAAAAATTAACTGATTTTATTTAGTCACTGTTGTGGTCTATATAACCCTGCCATGCTATGCAACGTGCTTCTCTGGAACTTACATAAAAGTGCAGATGCTTCTTTTGGTGCTATGTAGTGCATTTGTAGCCCTATTAACTTCAATGGGCGTGCATGAAAAACACATGTAACATGCATTTTAGTGCATAAAAACAAGCCCCCACCCCCAGAAACCTATACGTTATTTCACTTGCATTGGCCAAAATAAAAATAATAATGCATGAAAAATGTGCAAGAAAAACATGCTAAAATACACATGAAAATGCAGATACCCAAGTGTGAATGGAGGTCTAATGTCATCCATCTAATCAAATGATTTATTCAAATGCTTTATTCAAAGTTGGGTTTTTTTCCCCCTGCATCTATCATATAACACAGAAACTGTGCAGCAGCGTTAATGTCCCATGCATTGTTTTTCATGTTGTGTCTATCACAATAAAAGGAATGTTAAAAAGGAGCCTATTTTGTCAAATATTTTAGCTTTCAATAGGGTTCAGAAGAATGAATCCTCACAATGAGTGGACGGGGAGTGTTCTGGTCTCCTGTGTCCTTGCACGACTTCCTGGCTGATGCCAGTTCACAGAGAGACGGGATCACAGGTTCAGCTCAGGGGAGATCATGTGCCTACTTGTGTAGAAAACACAATAAGAAAACTTGGCACATCAGACATGGACAGAGCCATTTCACCCCGTCATTAATAAGGAGAGTTGCCAAAGAATTGTCCAGATTTTTCCACTAAAATATTTGCACAATAGTTCTTTGAGCTGTTCCTGGGAGGATCAAGAAAAACACAATCTATTTTTATTTCTGCTAAAGAGAATCAATATTTTCTTGATTTTGGATAGACTCTTCCATCTACAGAACATGGAATTTTATTATTAACACTTCAATTCTTCAATATGAATCTAATGTTCCTAGAGAAATAAAAAGTGATAAAGAAAAAAAAACAGGGCTTACAGGGGAATCCAATAACATTATTAAAAGCTAAACTCCAGCTATAAAGATATATTTAAATAAACATTGGTCCAGCTTGGATCAATGTAAAGATACATATTTTACACTCGGTAGGACTTCTGGGATCCTGTAAAACACTGTAGTAGCCAGCACTACTACAATGCTTTACAACGATCTTCTGGGTCCTGTATGCTGAGCCCTCTGTGAAAACACAGAAGATGGCTCACTCTGCACAGAGGCCATCCATGGAATGACTAGGATATTTATAAGTGAATACTAGCCTTCTCTGATTGGGTGAGGGACAATGTGATGATGTCACAACCCCTCAGAGAATGCCTAGTATTTATTGATAATACTAGGTGTTCACTGAATGGCCACTGTGCCAAGCGAGTGACCTTGTTGATGTTTGGACAAGCATTTAATACTGGGTAGGGAGATGTTGCTGGTACCCACTTTAGTTGGAGCAATACTTCTATATGTTTTAACTTTGTCTTACTGTACTATTTTCAATAAATATATGATATGTCTTATTTACTTCTTTATTATTGTAATTGAGTTCCTTCCATTCTTGAATTGACACCTTAAATACCCCATATATTTCGGTTTTGTGGTAGTATATAGAAATATATTGATGACTGATTCTTCAAATTTTAAGATACTTTATTACATTTTTGCAATTCCAGCCAACATGTTTTGAATTCTTGGTCAGGGCTACGATGATAAAAGGGGATAAATTAAAACACATTGGCCAGGATTGCAAGAATCAAATAAACACTCTTTGCCCATTTATTTATTTATAACACTTTGCCCCTCCAGATTTACACTGCACATAAGGCCCCTTCGGGCCATGACATGTTGGGCATGTGAGCAGCCTATATAATGCAACACATGATCATCCCTGGATTCTTTCTCCACTGCAGGAATAGGAACCTGGCACAGGATTAAACTGAAATAAAAGGTTTTGGCTTAAGTTGGGCTTAAACATTCCTATGCAATGCAAATTTAAACTGCGTCTTCCTTTTGCTATAAAACAGGAAATTGTAGCTTGGCGAATGAGCTCTTAAAGTCCAATTGAACTTTTCAATTAAATCCACTAAATATATTACTGATGCAATAAAAGGGTGTTTAAAGTTTTGCAGTTTGTTTCCTTCAGAAAGCAGCCAGAGCAGAGTAGAAAAGCCTGTACCTTGCTGGGATTTACAGGGAACTGTTCTATGTGTAAGCAGTGGTCTCTCTGCAGAGGTCCAACACACTCCTTAGCAAGCTCCACATTCTGGCTTAGGGTGCCCACACACCTTACGATAATCGTACGATAATCGCGGGAAATTCCGCAATCGTACGATTATCGTAAGGTGTGTGGAAGCCGTGCGACCTCTACTACCGTTAGGTTGCACAACTTTTAACTTACGAACATGTTCGAAAACCCGCTGAGAATCGCACAATGTTCGGCGGGTGTGTAGCATGTTCGTAAGATAAAAGCCGGACGGGCCGGTGTTCAGCATTGCGGTCATCGGAAGCCCGCCCCTCAGGGGGGCGCGGCTTGCGATCATCGCAAGTACGATCTGCCTGTCCAACATAGGCAGATCGTAAGTTTTTTTATTACCTTACAACCATCTTGTCTTGCGATGGTTGTAAGGTGTGTGCCCAGCCTTAGAAAAGAGTGAGTCTGTCCTGTACAGTAAGACAGCTCCACACAGAGAGCAAGGCAACATGCTTTCTCTGCAGGGGACAGGCATTTCTACTCATAGCTTTCTAAAGGGAAATGAACAATAAGACTTTGCACACCTTTTGTTTTGATGCACCCAGAATATATTTGTGGGTTTAAAGAAAACATTTACTTGGGCTTAAAAGTGAATCTGTCATGACAGAAATAGCTGGCTGATCTCATTTTAAAAATGCTAGTTGCCTGTAAAAAAAAAAATGCTAGTTGCTAGTTTGCTGCTGACCCACTTGATTCAATGAATAGCCACTGACTAGGAAACAAGTCAGATGTACATCAGAAAAGTCGGGGTAAAAGTAATTATCTGCATACTCCTTCCAGGTCAGTGATGCAAAGTAATGAAGGCAGAGGGTCAGCATGACAGAGAGACAGCTAGCATTGTTAATGTTTCTCTCATGACAGACTCCCCCTTAAATCAAGACACGTATTGTATTGTGGAAATATTAATAAACACATTTTACCGAAGATAACCATTTTCGCAAGGCTCTGTCAATCCTACCACATTCTACAGTAGCTGCAACTTGCATGGATTCCTTTACAAGTTTTTGGTCGT